TATAGAGTAAAGTGTCTTGCTAAGAAGACAACACAATGTCCCTGGCCAGGGCTTGAACTCAGGCCACTCAATCTGAAGTCAAACTCGCTAACCTGATGAGGCCACCATGCCTCATATCCAATGAAAACAGGATGAAAAAAAAAATTGAAATCTTCAAAATCCTGGAAACAATTAACACGCCACTTCTCCTAGTAATCTTAATACATTCCGGCTCACACACCACTGGTAGCCGTGTGAAGCTGACCGCCGCAACCTGACCTTTTTTGCAAATTCAAAGCTAATACAAGTAGCATATAGTAAGACCGGAAATAACAAAAACAGTTCCCGGCTAGTATATTATACTGGTATTGTATAAACATTTAAAATCTTTGAGAGGGTGGGCGGGAAAGTCAGCAATGGCGGACACAACAAAAACAACTGCCCGCCCCATAGGTCACATGACCTATACCCAGGCCCCAGCGGCACGTGGGAAAAACATTTTTCACTTATTTCGTTCCACTCAGTCTTCTTAAAAGCCGAACGGTTATTTCTTGTATGTCCAAATTCTCAATACTACTTCACAAACAAATGCATTGTACTCAGAAGGAGAAAAGCCAATCAGGTCTTACCATGTCCTTAACAGCCTGCTCGTCTACAAGAGGGATCTCGTCAGTGAGGGTGATAATGGATTTCCATCTTGCTCTGTAGTCTTCAAGCCATTGTGAATAGCTGTATAATGGCAACTTTACAAATGACTCTGTTGGAGAAAGAGAAATTGCATGGAATTCTGTTAATACCATAAATGGTTTGAACCTGGAGTAAAATGTTATGATATGCAAACATCAGTCACTTCTCAGGATAATTAGAACACATGATCAAACGTTAAATTGACATGCATCATTCACAGTAAGATTCTTGTTTTACTTTTAAAAGTGAAACAGAATTCTATCACAACAAGAAAAATAATTATTACGGACCAGGACATGGATTATCCGGCCAGGGGCACAGTTTAGAATGACCACTGACGAGTGCTTCTCGTAGCTGCTCACAGGTCTTGGCATCTAAAATCAAAAAAATAAATTGAGTTAAAAGTAAAACAGTTCCATGCCACAGATGTTAATGGCCATTCAACAGTAAGTTAAAATGCAGTAAATGGTTTGAACCCGGGGGTAACATGTGAAGGTGTAGTCTGATCGTCCGGGTGAGTGTAGTCCTGAGAAGGACAGTTGTCGGTGGTAGTGACTGACATTTCGACAACCTGTGCGGAAGTCATCATCAGAGTCAAGTGATGACTTCCGCACAGGTTGTCGAAACGTCAGTCACTACCACCGACAACAGTCCTTCTCAGGACTACACTCACCCGGACGATCAGACTACACCTTCAGTAAGTTAAAAGTTGTACAGACTATTGCTTGTGCGTTCACAGGTTTATTATGAATCAACATAACCAGTTCCCAGTTGGTTTGCTCTTTTTGGATTAAAAGCCTTATCCCTAGCTTTCCATAATAGGTTTGGTTCTGCCTAAAGGATCATGCATTAATTTTGTCTTCTGTTCACGTATCTAGGAGGGTGGGCCACAAGCAAAATTACTTTCAAGATCTGAATTGAGCACAGTTGGTCATATATTATATAAAATACTCACATATTTCAGAATCCCATGTGGTGGATATAGTAGCATCAAGACATGCCCTGCAGCTGGCACACTGTAGGATATCGACTTCACTGTTCTCCCAGCCATATTGTGCGCAGTGGAGAGGTGAAAGTGCAAGTGGTTTGGCAAACCACGTAAATGGCTGGACTCAGTTAAGAAAGTCATAATTAAAGTAATGTTTGGGTAACAGATGTTCAAGATGTTTGCATACACAGACACATGAGCCAGTCAAGACGATGGTTATCCAAAAGTAAGGGAAAGCAGAAGGTTAAATAAGCATTTCAATGGCTAAGGATATGTATTCGAGCCCCTTTTCACCCCAACATCACTATGCATATTCTCCATACTGTTCTGAAAAAGTTTCCTAAGGTGATAAAAGGGAAGATTTGTTTAACAATCAAGTCAGAGCATATTCAGTTGGTGATCATTTTAAAGACAGTAATGTGTGAATTCTTGCAACACAAATATGACCTGATTATCTGGTTCCAATCTTTCAGCCATTGTAATGGTTTTATAACTGCTTACAATCTTTAATAATATCGGATGGCGTACATCAAAAGTATATTTGGTCAAAAGATACAGAGAAGGTTTCCACGCGATTCCAAAATGCTTCTTTACTTCTTGGTTGACTTCTACAAACTGAGTCCAAAGAGGAATTGTCTTGTTCAAGAGTTCTAGAAAAAATGGTTTACTTTGCTTGAGAGCTGCATTTGGTAATTAGTTCCCCTTTGGGTGAAATCAACATCGGTAAGGGGAGACTATACATAATAAAAAGTTTCAACAAAAAAAGCACAATTTGAAATATAATGTTCCGTGCGTGCTCAGGCTACCATCGATCACTTCAAGATAGCTTAAAATTTGCAATTCCAAATTTTGGAACAGGAAAATTTTAATGAAAATCTTTACAGCTGTTGACATTCGACCTTTAATTAATACATAGGACCAAATATACAACAAATGAAGTTTGTATCTATGTTTCTGATGCCACACAGTGCACTTGTGTTTTTAATTCCTGTAGAGTATCGTTATTCAAAACAAACTTGTCGTGACTGTCTCAAACTCCCAACAGATAAAAATTATTTTGCAATGATCGATTAAAAACAGTGACGCACATACTTATCGATCGACCAAGTGTTCCAGTGAAATATTTGATCAGTGAACGCAATTCTTAAATCCAAACAAAAACTAGTTCAACTTTTCCTAGAAATATTTAAACTAAAATATATTTGACACGCTTCGAGAACGTCTGATTGCTAACTACAGATAAACGACCCCATCAAAGACAGGGTGTTTTAAAACCATGTTGTTGCATGCTGCATTCTTGGAATAACTTGGTATCAGTGGCATTAACGCGTGGTTTTCTGAGCAATCTGTTCAGTTCAACTAACCGAGCGCATTTCTAGGTCCCTCAATATTTTTACCTCGTTTTTTCCTCTTCGTCCGATGAGTGAAGAAAGCTCGACAACAAGGCGCGAACTCTTCGAGGAGTTCCCTCAACAGCTGCCGCCATGTTGTTTTTGATTGTGATTCATCTCCAGTCCTTCTCCAACCTAGGGCACGATTTCTCAAAAACCCCTGAGAGTTCCCCGAGTTCAGATAAGCCATTTTATATTTTAGCTATTTTCTGTCCATAACATAATATGGTCGAACTAGAACCTCCTTCAATTATTGTCGAAATGTCAAGGTTGAGATTAAAGTCAGTTCGTTTTAGGAAATGTAAGGTTTATCACGAAGATGAAAGGAAGCGAATTTATGAGTATCCTTTTCATTGTTAAGCTGCTTACTATGGAGTCCCTGATCACGAGAGAGATGCCTGAAGTGCTAAAAAAGAAAGAGATGCCTGATCCTCTTTTTCTCTGCTTTTACGTGTGCAATTTATCTATTTCTATTAATTCTGGGGAGAGGTGGAGGGAATGACACAGCAAGACAGTCCCGTTTTTTTTCTTAGCGTTCTTCCAATCAGGCGAGGTAAATCGTAACGACATGATAATTGGGAGTAAGTGAATTAGCTGACTTAATCTTCCAGGAAGCTTCTCGGCTTTTAATCTTGAAGTAATGGTTTCATATTTTGGGAGTTGCGCTCATGCGCGTATCCACGGTGTACCTTGGCTATACCCCCCCGCAAGCATTGATAAGGCTGGTCTTCAAGCAAGCTTTTCTAGCCACTGCGGCACGAGTTTGCGTTGAAGATCACGAGGTTTTAGCGAGCGAGCGTGTGGGAGGTTGTTAAGAAATATGGCTCTGGTCTTATCATCAAGCTACCGAAATCTGTAGGCTTAGCCGCTAATGTCGCAACTACGTACGCAAGCTACTAAATACAGTTCACGAAAGGTGGTTTACAAAACAGCCTTATGAAATCATAACTAACAGCCATTGTTACTTGAGCACAAGTGGCTTTACTTACCGCGGGTATTGTTTGTTATCTCTTATCTCTTATTTACACAAATGAAACAATCCCAACACTCTTATGCTGGAATGTTTTCAGGATAAAGGACAAATGAAGGACAGATTTTGTTCTTTCTCGTCTCCTGTATCACCAAGTACTTATAACTGTAAGGCCACATTGAGATTCTGTGACGCGAATCAAATTCTCATAATTTTAATATATATGATTTCAACTTTAGCAGAACGGGATATAATTTGGATGTGATGTGATTTGGATGGGATCTGAAGGCCAAAAAGCAAGGCCTCAACACCTATTTGGAGCAACCAGCAACTTTTTTCAAGGGTTATCATTTGTTGCGAAATGTTGATGATGAAAAATAAAAAAAACATTGCCTTGTCAAAGGCAGGTATGGATACCTTTGTACTAAAGGGACCGGTTATTTGTTATAGAGGGGGGTAGGGGAGGGGAGGGGAAGGGGTGGCCCTGGATGTATTTCGCCATTGCATAAAGCAATGTAGCCCCATAGTTAGCTGCTGTTGGTTACTGATTTTTTTTTTTTTTTGTAGAAGAAAATAGAATGCACAAAAAAAACTTGACCGCTTAGAAATGGTTCCTGAATTTTATGTAGGCCCCTATTTTTCGGCATACAAAAGGGTAAGACCCCCTCCCCATTTGTACCACTCCACCCCCTACCCC